GGGGGCTGGTGGCAAGCTACCTATCCACAGCTCCTCCATCCCTGTAGCTGCAACCCAGTCCTCCCATTCACGAGTCCAAATCAAGCCAAAAAGTAAGCCAAAAGAACAAAACATCTGTTCCACAAAAGAAATGTTTCCCTCTTTGTAAATGTATCCTGCAGGCCTTACCTGTCTAGGAGACCTCCTCTCCCAGTTTCCCTGGGTAACTTACTTGCCTGCCTACCTGCCTTCCCTTCCCTTCCCCTCCAACACCTCCTCATCAAAAGTGGTGCCTGAGGCTTCTGCCTTGTTTGCCCCCCTCAGTATGCTACTTCACAATGCTGTAGAGAACAAACATATAATGATAGTAGGTTCTCAAACTTTTTTGGGTCCCGTGCCCCTTCTTAAGTTTGTTATACTGCTGTGTATCCATATTATCCATGTGATGGATAATAACTGACACTTTCTGTCTCTGCCATTACACAGTAGTTTCCCCAGCAACCTGAGAGAGGTTGCAGAGTTGTTCCTCATTTTTCTTTTCCTTTTCCTCCATTTATATTTGCCTCCCCCCTTCTTCTGCTTTTCTATTCCTTCTGTTTCATATGCATTAGAAGTTTGTTGGATATTGCCAGGGGTAACATGTAAACACCTGGTGCCTGGCATCACTGGTTCTTAAGAAATGCTGGTAGTAACTGCAGACACCCATGTGTGGTGATAGGAAGGCACTGTGTGCCTGTAATGCTTAAACAAAGTGCTCCCCCAAAACATACATTTCTTAAATAAAAGATAAGTGTCATACACTGTCTCAATGGGATGATAAAGATCAAATAAAAAGTGTTTTATTGCTAATCTCAGAAGACTGTAGAACAGTGTTCAGCCATGTCACACGAGACTCGCCTTCCTTTATGGCAAGAGAATTTATGAGCCTCAAAACCCAGAGGGCAGCCAGTAAAATGAAATAATGGCAGGTGCATTAGGATAATCTTTTTTCTGGATTGGAGGATGTTTCAGGATCTTGGGCCAGATTTGTTACTCTGTAATAAAACTGTTACTGCCATCAGTGGTATAAAAATAGTGCCATGGACTAGGGGATTGAGCTCTTTGTTTCTAAACTATGGGCCCCAAATCCATTTGTCTGACAAATTTCTGCTGTTTGAATATAGCACCTGAAGCCTGAGAACTTTTAACAAAGGACAAGGAAAATCTGGTAAAAGAGCACTACTACTTGTGCAACAAAGGGTTAAAAAGTGTAGGACCTGAATCACCCCTTGCATAACTCAGTGTCTTGAATGGGAATTAATTTTGGTCAGTTAGTGCCTCAGTTAAATCCCACTGCACATAAATATGTCTGTATGCATTAGCTTTCAATATAGTGGAAAATCAATTGAAGAAAGGAAAGCAACACAGCTGCTGAACTGAACAGCTCAGGTCAGTGGGGAATTCCCCGTGGGGCAAGGCACAAAGATTTTGGAGCAGTAGCACCTGATTATGGAAACAAACATTTATACCTGTCTCAGGAAAATGGAAAGTTTCCTGCTAGTAAAACGCCTCTTGCCCAACCCAGATGGCTCCACCTGCTCCTGGGATGGGATCACCTGCTATAAAAGGCTCAGAGCAGTGAACAGCAAGGCACATTAACTCCAGCCTCCTGTGAAAATCCACCTACTCTGACTCTGAACATGGGCAAGAAGGTGGCCATTGTCTTGGCTGGCTGTGGTGTATATGATGGCAGTGAAATCCATGAGTCTTCTGCTGTGCTGGTGCATCTCAGCAGGGAGGGGGCACAGGTAAGAAACATACTGGCTCTGGTGACCAGTTTTGTCTCTTCAACAAATCCTCTTGCCTTGTTCTGCTCTTTACCATACCCGTATTGCCAGATGCAGTCTGGGGATCTGAGCATCTCGGCTGACCACTGGAGCAGTAAGTCACACAGTCTTCTCAGAGGTTAGGTGCTGGTTCCTTTGGCTGTGAGAGTGATCAGACACAATGGTGATGGGCACAGTAATACAAGCATAGATTGTATTACTGAGAGAAGAGAGTTTCTTCTTTTATCCACAGTACTCCCCTTAAAATATCCAGAACCCCTGCAATACAAAGAATCTGACTGAGCTCTGTACTGTCTCTCTGTAAATCTGTAAGCAGCTTCCTTAAATATGTGTCTCTCCTGCAACACTGCAGCTCTGTTTTCCTTGTGGCCTAGACATTTCCTCCTTTGTCACTTCCATGCCTGTTTCATGCCCATTCTTTTTTTAAATTCTGTTTTTGAACATAAAACATGAAAACAGAATCCACTAGAATGGCTCTTGGTGGTTAAACTGAAACAGTGTAAAACAACCCAGCAGCCACCAAGAAGCTGCTTTGGTAACTGAACCTGAATTGTACTGATTGCCGAGGGAAAGAAATATTGTGTGACGTCACCCTTTGAAGCTGGCATATCTGGCCAGATTCTCCATTGCCATAACTCTCTGTGAGTCTGTTGTCAATGGACCAATGCTGATTTATACCAGCTGAGGGTCCAACCCATCCAATTCCAGAAGTATCAGGATGCCTCTTCTCATTCACTTACACAATGGAACCTTTTCAAAAGCTGCACTTGCTCCTCTTGTTTTTCACTCCTTGATTTCATCTACATTCAGTCTCCCTTCCCAGTGCTTACAGCGGTCCGCTCCCCCATGCCTTAAGCGAAGGAGCCCTCTAATGGAGGAAACTGGCACACTTTTCACTCTATACATTGAAAGGGTTTTTTTTTTCCCCCTTTACTGGTAGGAAGTTAGTGTAACGGCTCTCAATCTTTATGTAACTGAACCTCCCTCTTTTGTTCCATACTAACTGTCACATAGAAAATCTCTTTGCAGCTGAAGAAAATCCAGGTTTCTCCAACACATTGTAGTAATCTGGTAGGAAGAAGAATCTGTTCTTGTTTTATTATTATTATTGTTAGTTTTTCACAGAGGAGAGGGTAATAGTCCTCCTTCTCCCTCTCCCCACAAACATGAGAAGTGTGTGCCAGATTCTGCTTTTTTACCCTACTGTGGGGGTGTTTACATGTGATGCTACGTCGCCATAGCAACATGCTAAGCTGACATAGTGGCGACCAGCAAAAACTGTGGCGCCGCAGTTACTTTGCTGTAGCAATGCACTCTGTCATTATAGTATGCTGCTATGGAGACATAGCAGCTAAAAATAACTGAGTGCAGCTGGCACCGTGCAATATGGGCTGTTACTGCGCCGTTAGCGCAGTAACAATGGCACCATATGGTCACATGTAGACGTGCCCTGTAACTCTGGATTTCCTCCCTCTCTTCAGGGAAGTCACTTCAGACATACAAAGGTGGAGTTCCTCTGAAGTCAATGGGTCTGATTTTTTTTCCCCTCCACAATGGGTATGTCTACACGTGCATTTACACTGGCTTAAATTTACTGCGCATTAAGTTGCTGCCATTAATAGGCCAGCATCTACACGTGCAAAGTTAGTCCCAAGTCATTCCACACATATAGTGCATTACACAGTCTACACATTCATTACTGCGCAGTAACTAATCAGGCTCAAATTTGAGACCTGCATGATGCAGATATCAAATTTACGGTACTGTGTGATACTTATCTGGAGTCCACTTCTGAACACCCATTTCTATAATCAGTGGTCTTCTTCAGAGACACTGACACAGGATGAGATAAGTTCTTCTCCTGATCCTACCACTGATTTTCTGTGTGATGTTAGATAAGTCACATCATCTCTTTGTGTTTTCTTTCCTTCCTCCATCAAAGATGGGGATAGCATTACTTCCCCTGTCTCACAGTGGGACTTAGAGCCTCTGACGGAAGATGTTATAGAAGTATGAAATCAGCCATGATCTCAGTGAAAAATCAAGGTTGTTACTGTGGACTACAACATCAGTAGTGAGGTTTACCTGCTGAGGACCTCAAGCAAGAGTTCACTACCATGTCCCTACTCTTTACTAGACAACCGTACTAAAAGCAGCTATGAAACTGACTGCTCTTAGTTGGTTTCAGGATTGTTAATGCAAAGAGCAACCCCTGAGCAACTCAGGCCCTACAATTGTACAGTTTATATTGCCTTAATACTGGCCCTAAGTACTACATGTCATGTTCTGATGGGCTAAGGATCTTGGAGCTTTCTCCAGCATCACTAGGACAAGGAAGAGTTTTGCCATTACTTAAATGGTGGCAGGATTGGGCCCTAAATGAACAGTTGCATGATTCACCCTGTTATTGATGTTTGTGTCTAGTAATTATGTGACACATAAAAATTGGGACTTCGTCAGCTTCGGTATAATTTTTCTTCCTTCAACCCAATGCCCAAGAACTTTAAAAAGTGGCATATTCTGACAATAACCATTGATAATGTAGTGACAAGTCATCATTTATAGGAGCATTGCCAGCAAATCAAGGGAAGCGATTATTTTCCTCTGTTTGGCACTGGTGAGACCATATCTGGAGTACTGTATCCAGTTTTGGGCCCCTCACTACAGAAAAGACAAATTGGAGATTCCAGCAGAAGGCAATGAAAATGCTTAGGGGGTTGGAGCACATGACTTCTGAGGAGAGGCTGAGGCAACTGGGCTTATTTAGTTTGCAGAAGCAAAGACTGAGGGGTTGGGGGGATTTAATAGCAGCCTTCAGCTACCTGAAGGGTGGTTATAAAAAGGATGGAGCAAGATTGTTCTCAGTGATAGCAGATGACAGAACAAGGAGCAATGATCTCAAGTTGCAGCAAGGGAAGTTTAGGTCATATGAGGGAAAACATTCTTACTAGGAGGGTAGTAAAAAACTGGAACAGGTTACCCAGAGAGATTATGGACTGTCTACTCTTGGAGGTTTTTAAGACCCGGATAGACAAAGTCTTGGCTGGGATGATCTAGTTGAGGATGGTCCTGCTTTGAACAGGGGGTTGGACTAGAAGACCTCCTGAGGTCTCTTCCAACTCTAATTTTCTATGTTTCTATGATATGATCTAAGCTGTGAAGCTAGAAACAGACATTGCACTTGTCCCTGGGTAAGTTGTGCCTCTTTTTTTTTCCTGGATCATAAATATCCTAGGACTGGTGTGTACACACATCACTCTTCTAATCAAGGTTTAATGAATGACTGAACAGACTTTTCTGCTATTGATTCAACGATGCAATCCCAAAATAGCTATTCAGAGGTACTTTGCAATGTCCCAAGATAAAATGTTAGTCCTTCTCATGCCATGAACCCTTTTATGATTTATCCTGAGATAACAGATGTAGATGTCTGAACAACTGTACTTTGTCCCAAGATAAAATGGTTTATCCTGGGATAGTGTGACAGCTGTTTGTAGCTTCAGTGGTTCTGAGAACCACTATATTCCTGCTGTGCCCTTCACTCTCAAAGCTTCACAAACATGGCAACCAAAGCATCCCCATTCACTACCTAGTATCTAATAATACAGCTTAGAAAATGGGCCTCAGGGTAGCAACTTTGTTATTCTCATTCCAGGGAGAGTTTTATGCTCCTGATATAGACCAGATGCATGTGGTGGATCACGTGAAAGGTCAGCCAACTCAAGAGAAACGCAACGTGCTAGTTGAAAGCGCCAGAATTGCCAGAGGCAACATCAAAGACCTGGCCAAACTGAATGTCAAGGAATTGGATGCTCTGATCATACCAGGTAGGACTGCTTGTGAAATATTAGTGACCCTGGGAAGCAGCTGTCCACCAGGATGAGCTGGAGAGGAATCATGACATTTCAGTAGGAAGAGAGGGTTTTATTGCAGGATAGGAAAGAGAAGGAGTTGCTTTCACATGATCTGCTTTGACTGCTGTTTTAACTGTAGCAATAAAGGAGCTTTCTCAGGAGAGAAAGGGAAGATTAAATAGCATTTCAGTACAGAAGCACTTGCTCTTCTCTTGCTTGATACAAGAGGAAGACATAAAACTGGAAGATGTCCATTAGTAGGGACAGGAAATACAGGGAACATGTAGTAAATGGTGAAAAGCTAGACCAACCCTGGAAATGTGTACTCACGGGAGTTAATGGCCACATCAGGCATGAGGGCTGAATTAGAAATTATTCTACCAACATGTTACATGACAACTTTAGAAAAGTAAGATAATGAATGAGGAGTGGGTTCATGGATAATGAACTACTACATCTCCAGCTAACTCTGCTGAGAGACCATGAAGGTCCTTTGCAGAAATGTTTCCCAGCCTAAGAGAAAATGTCAGGCATTCAGATGTGGTGGTTTTGTATTGTTTTTATAATATGTATAAATGATACCATGCTTTAAGTCTACATAATCATAGTAGACCTGACAGGAAAACCTACACTTGTGTAATCATATATTTTTTAATCTTTATTTTCCCATTGCTAGGTGGTTTTGGAGTGGCTAAAAACCTTAGTACTTGGGCTGTACAGGGAAAGAACTTCACCGTCTCCAAGGCAGTGGAGGACACTCTGAAGGCATTCCATGCTGCCAAGAAGCCCATTGGCTTGTGCTGCATTTCCCCAGTGCTGGCAGCCAAAATCTTCCCAGGATGCGAGCTGACTGTTGGACATGACACAGAATGTGAGAAGTAAGTGCCACCGAATTTTAATACACAATCTGATCTTGAGATACCTATGCAGCACAGTGTTCCACCTCCCTCACAATCCTGGGGTAAGAAAAGCATCAGGTTATTGACTGACAAACCTAATTATGGTACATCTTGTCACTACATCCATTTCCTTGCCGAAACAGACCAAGAATGTCATTGGGCATGGCCTCAAAGATGGGGATGAATTCTCTAAGGGTCAGGAAACAAGGTGAACATCACTTCATTTAACATTAGGTTAATAACTAAACCCCTAGTGCTTGCTGAAAGTGGCTCTCAGGAGCTTCACAAAAGGATCCTCAAGGCCTCATTTTTTTTATTTTACTTAAGGTTTTTACTCATTTTGAGGGAGAGAGAAGTAGTTACAGTTTGCTTAGTTTACTCCCTTGACCATAGAGACATCCCTTTGCCACAAACAAAGACCTGGCTTTTTTGTAGTCATCATATGCTTAGGCACCATTCATTTCACTATATCTATTTCAGGGAGGCACCTAACGATTAATTTTTTTCCATCAAGACTTTGGATGGGCCTTCCTCTGTTATGACTACCATCACACATCTGGTTTACTCTTACTTCTTCCTCTAGGTGGCCCTATGCAAAGACTGCTGAGACCATGAAGGAACTTAGCTGTAAACATGTAAACAAACATGTAAATGAGATTCATGTAGATGCAAAGAACAAGCTGGTGACTACCAGTGCCTTCATGTGCAATGCCCCGATCCATGAGGTCTATGATGGCATCGGAAAGATGGTCAAAGAAGTGCTCAGACTGGCTTGAATGCAAAACTACAGAATATGCTGTAGGATGGAGTCTAGGTCTCCTGACAAGGCATTGATTATACAATGTAGCTACCGAGTATGGAGCACCAGCCTACCCTTCCCCCCCGATTTGTGTCACAAAATGAATTTCTTATCAAGTTGAATCCTTTCCTACTGAACAATTATCAAGAAGGGGGACCTCTAGAAAAAAAACTCTTGATTTCTTGCCACCCTTACCTTGCTAAGAGACACCACATCATAAGCTGTCAATGCAATGGAAGCACCAGCAGCACCTATTTGCATCACTGTGTATGTCAAGCTTCTAGTGGGAGGAGATATAGCAATTGTCTCAAGTCCTAGATCTTGGTGCTAATATTTTTTCCCTTTCCCTTCCCCCGCCCCCTCCCCACAACCCCTGCTGTGTTATGTTGCAAGACTTTTTACCAACATGTAAAGGCTCTAATGAAACACAAAATGTGTCAGCTCCCACCTTGTGTTTCACCTCTTAAGAATAAAAGTAGAAATAGATCCAGAGAGAGGGAGAGAAATTTAGAAAACTTCATAGAAATGGGGATATGGAGACCATTACAGATGTAATAAAAGACCCAAAACTTTTTAAGGAGCTAACTATCAGAGTTGCTTTGAAGACTTGTTCTGTGGAACTTGAGAATCAGCCCTAGAATATGGGTGTACCAAGCTGCATCTTCAGCATCTTTACGCTCATGTTGGCAAAGTTACACTTGCCTGTTTTAAAACAATTGCAACCATGTAAGGTGTGGACTTTCTTTTTTAATTTGGGAAAAGGTATTCAGATTTTCCAAGAATTCAATTCCCTCAGTAGGTGCATTCCTATGAGACCCCAGCTACACTGATGTTTTCTGGCACATATCACTTATATCAAAATGTTGTCTTTCTACTAAATAAAATTAGAAACTTGTTAAATCTGCTGGTCTCTAATTACTGTGAATTACTTTTGCATTGCACACTACAGTGGGGAGCACTGTAAATGTGACTGCTTTGTCCTTGCTCAGAGAGAATAGTGCAGAGAACTGTTGCCTACAAGTCTAGGCTTGTCTTCTGAAGCCATGTTAGGATTCTGATTTTGGGGAAAATAAAGTACATTCTACTGTTTTCTGCCACACAGGGAAATATCGATTACGCTGTTCCAGACTTGTCTCCTTTCCTGCCTCAAATGATTAGGTAATAATAATGCAAAGCCAAGGGACACAGTTTAAACCCCAAGGGGTCAAGGGATGATCTAGGGCAGTGCTTCCCAACCTTTTCCTCAACATGACCCCATTTCCTCAACATGGCACCTCACTCCCACCCCAGCTACCTGGCCCTTTCAGTACCCCTCACTCCCAACCTGCAGCCCCAAGCCCTCCCCAGGTGTCTCAGGGCCAGGGCCCAGAGCCCCCTGCTTGTCCCAGCAGTGCCTAAGCCCTGGCTGCTGCCCATGGAAGGCAGTGGCTGCTATAGCTGGAGTGGAGCATGAAGCCTGGCTCCCTCCCACCTCCTCACCATGCAGGCGGCACAGCTGAAGCAGAGCCTATGACAGCATGGTGGATGCAGGCTGCCTTCTGCGGGCTCAGGGCTCCCTGTCCTGCTGCCCGCCCTGCAAGGGCCCCACAGCACAGTGGGGTGGGGTGGGGTGGGGTGGGGAGGCTTAGTGCTGCTGCTGGGAGCCCCATGCTGGCCACGCTGCCTTGGCAAGGCACCCCTGCCCACCCAGCAGTCCTGGAGGTGGCACAGTGGAGGTGGCACCCAGCTCTCTGCTTCTCTCAGCTCTTCCCGGGGGTGCAGCACCCCAGATTTGCATGCTGGGTTTCAGCAGGCTGCTGCTGCAGGCTGGGGCAGTCTTCCTGGCACTTGGCACAGGCTGCTGCCACTGGGACCAGCAGCAACCTGCTGAAACCCTTTGCACAGATCAGGGGCCTATGCCCCCCAGGAAGAGCTGGGGAAAGTGATCAGAGAGCTGGGGAATCAAACCAGGAGCTAAATGTCAATATCAGAGCAGTCTTTCCCCACTCTCTCTCCTTAGTTTCAGCCTGTTGAAACCCTGCACGCAGATCTGGAGGTATGCGCCCCACGGGAGGACTGCGAGGCTGTGCCAGACTCCTCCTGGGGGGTGCGGACCCCCAGATCTGTGTACAGGATGACAACACGTTACTGCTGCCAGCTGGCACTAGTGCTTGGCGCAGCTTGTGGCAGCCTGCTGTCATCCTGTGCACAGATCTGGGGGTCCACACCCCCAGGAGGAGTCTGGCTCCGCTCTGCAGCCCTCCTGGGGGTACAGGTCCCCGGATCTGCATGCAGGATGGCAGCAGGCTGCCACTGTTGGCTGGGGCCATCGCCAGCACCCATGTCTGCTCGGGTTCAACACCATTTCGCCCATAGGCTAGAAGCACAAAACTGCCTATAACTTTGTCATTTCTTATCTGATTTGGATGAAACTTTTAGGGATAGTAGTGCCTCCTGAGGCCATGAAGCCTTCCAGGTTTCAAAGAGATAGGTGCATGGAATTCTGGGAAACTGCACCTCAAAATCTTGAAAGAAAAACTCATGTCACTTGTAAGTGTGAAGGCACCGGGGGGTAAAAGCTGCAGGGGTGGTAGCCTATGCTGAGTTCATGATACCTGCCAACTTTCAAGGAGATAGGTGCAGGGGTTTCTGGGGAACTGCACCTCAAGCTGGTGACAGGCAAAACTCATGACACGGGTGACACTGTGCGTGTGTGTTAAGGTGCAGCAGGGTGAAAACTTCAGGCATGCTATGCCCTGCTGAAGCCAAGAAGCCTGCCAGCTTTCAAGGAGATAGGTGCAGGGGGTTCTGGGGAACTGCACCTCAGACTGCTGACAGGCAAAACTCATGACATGGGTGATTGTGCCTCTGTTAAGGCATGCCCTCACTGGTGCTGGGGCATCTATACAACATGGTAGTGTGCCCCAATGAGGCCTCCTCCTCCTTCCCTACAGCCTCAATTCGGTCCACCACTTTAAATGACAACAGATATAAAATAACTTAGTGAGCACTAGCACAGTAGCACCAGCAGCATCTCACACTTCATGGCCATAGCAGGGCCTACCATGCCTGCAGTTTTCATCCCCCTGTGCCTTAACACACACACAGTATCACCCATGTCACGATTTTTGCTTGTCAGGAATTTGAGGTGCAGTTTCCCAGAAACCCCTGGACTTCTCTCCTTGAAACTTCTCAGGTTTCATTCCCTCAGCAGGGGCTACCATCCCTGCAATTTTGTCTGAATCAGCCAAAAAATGACAACGTTATAGGTATTTCAGTGATTCCCCATTATACTCTATGGCCGAATCGCTGAATCTCTCCGAATCAGCGGTGAATCTTCTGAAGCCGATTTGGCTGAATCAATTCGGAACAGCGATCTAAATCTCTGAATCAAATCACTATCCTCTGAACGGCTGAATTTGAATCTGAATCATATCCTTCCCTATTTGCACAGGCCTACTACTAGCTCTTTCAAAGAACAAGATAAAGTTCTCTTTCCCTTTCTCTGCTTTCAAATCCTCCTTCCCAATGAAAAAAACCCAGCACTTGTGCAGCTGGTCTCAGTTCCCTCAAACTTTAGCTGTATATGAAATTAATATAATGCTTACTAATTTTACTGCTGCATTCTAAATAACAGTGAAGGTGACAATAGTCTTATTAATTTCACATTGGTGTTGATTAGCAAGGCTAGGAGCAGATATCTTCAAATATAAGGGCTGAAAGTCCTGTATTTGAACAGATGAAAGTCTAGAACCTGTAAGAGCTGGAACAGATCCATTCACAGTAAACTTCCCAATTAAACTTGGCAAGTCAAATTTCAAGATAGTCATTTGAGTACAGAACATACATTGTCAAAATCCACAAAGTATAGAAATATATAGAAACCTGAGAGGCCAGCAGACATAAGAAGATGAAGCAAGTAACTCACTACCTGACAGAAGATTCCTCAAGCTGGAAATATTTTAAAATTATGCATTCTTTTGTATATTATCAATTATAAAGGTCAAGGTCAGAATTTAATTCTTCACTTGATATAGTACTTTCTAAATACCATTCTTCTACCTTGATGGCACCCTGTAAAAATTCCCCTACCTTGTTAAGGTTTTTTCCTATGTTTAAGTTAAACATTTCCTTAGGACTAGAATTAATTTTGCATAAGTAATATGGATATCATCTAATAAAAATCCACCTAAATTAAACCTGGTATACAAGTTTTGCATCCACCTTTTCCAAATATTTACTCAATCGATAATACATAAAAAAGAAACTAGCCATATATAACTTAGACTGTCTTTAGTAACTATGATTATATATGTTGCTGTAATACCATAATTGTGTTCCAAATACACAGGAAGACACAGTCACTACTCTCAAGCATGGCATAAAAAGGAAAACACACATGGGGGTAGCAGAAGTACAAACAAGATTTTCATTGTTAAAAGAGAGGTCATTACTTGCACGTTGTTCGATTTCATTCAGGCACACTTACAGTCCATTCCTCCCTCCACTATTTCACAATTTCAACTTCCCCTATAGCAATCCCAAACACCCTTTCCAAAAACCTTAAAACTTTTCCTTCCCAACATATAACACCTTCCCACCATGAAAGGTGTGGTTTAGCCCTCAAATAAGTCAATGGATTAAAGTACAAATGACATAATGTCTTCTTCTAAATGTAGTGAAACATTGGGACAATAGATTTCATAGATTTCATAGACATTATGGGCTGGAAGGGACCCTTCCCCTCCCCCCACCATAGGCAGGAAGTCAGCTGGGATCAAGTGACCCCAGCAAGAAATAAATTCAGCTGTTTTTTGAAGGAATTCAGAGTAGGTGCTTGCACCAGCTCTGGGGGGAGTTTGTTCCAGACACTGGACACATGCACTGTAAAGAACTTTTTTCTAATATCCAGTCAAAATTAATATGGCTGACATCACATGGCTGGAGAAGGCTGTCAGCTGGCATAGAGCCCAGTGGTCATGTGCTTAAAATGGGCCCAGGGGCTGAGGCAGAGGTGGAATGTATAAGTATGCTGGTGATTCCTTCTCCCTAGGTGCAGCACCTTGCACTTGTCCTTGTTGAACTGCATCCTATTCTGCTCTGCCCACTTTTCCAACCTGTCCAGATCCACTGGGATTCTTTCCCTACCTTCTAGTGTGTTAACTTTACCCCATAATTTGGTATCATCGGTGAATTTGGACAGAGTCCTTTCCATGCCCTCAACCAAGTCACTGATGAAGACATTGAACAGCACAGGTCCAAGGATCGAGCCCTGTGAGGCTCCAATGCCCACATCTTTCCAGGTCGATACCAACCCATCCACCACCACTC